AGACTTGATGGCACTTAACAACAACAATATATATATGAACAAGGAGCTCTAGTAGTGTAGTGGTTACAAATCGGGCTGCTAATCTCACGGTCAGCAGTTCGAAACTACCAGTTGTTCCACAGGAGAAAGATAAGGCTTTCTGTTCCCTTAAAGATTATAGCCTCGGAAATCCTGTGCAGGATCACTATGAATCGGAACCAACTCCACGGTACATAACGACAACAACTAATTACTGGACTAAAATTCAATATATCGATCACAGTGTATCTCATCTAAAAATTACTATCTGATAAACTAACTGATCATTTTCATACTAGTATTCACAAATGGAGCTCTGGTAGCGTAGTAGTTACATGTTGGGCTGCCAACCCCAAGGTCAGCAGTTCGAAACTACCAGCCGTCCGCGGGAGAAAGATGAGGCATTCTGCTCCCGTAAAAATTTACAGCCTCGGAAACCCTGTGCAGGGTCACTATGAATCGGAACCGACTCCACGGTACTTAACAACATTCACAAATGGAGTTCTGGTATAGACAGCACTGTAGGGTAAAGCACTTGACCACAAAATCAGCTTGAACCACTAGGTTGGTGGTTCAAACTCACAAGCTACTCCTCGGAAACCCTATACAAGATTGCTATGGGTCGAAACCGACTCGATGGTACCTAACAACAACATTCACAAATGAACACAGAGCTGTTTCTACTGTTTCAACTATACTCATAGTCCAACCGCACCCAAAGAGTCTTTTAAATAAAATGAACTCAATAAAGCTGAAGTCTAGACAAGTTTTTCCAGATTCAGCAGAATTCACGTTGCTCAACCAAAAGTTGTGAAAGAAATCCTACCAAGATGCAAGACAGCAGAGTTCCTATGATCCTTTCTACTGACAATCAGCTGATGGTTAATTACTACTGACCTTCAGTGAATTGAAAACAAAATACTGCATGCAATACGCTGTATATCCGAGTATTTTCAGAAAATGTGACTTCAATTAGACTGGTGTTTACCCCATATATTTGTAAACAGGAACTATGATTGATGCTTCCACTCCACTTAAGGTTTTCACATAGCCTAAATGCACTGTGTGTAAAAACTTGTAGAATGAAAAATTTTCAAATAAAAAAATCAAATTTCATAAAAGTACTGTTCTCCCACAAGTCTCCCTGCTGATGACTAAACAATAATGTTCAAAACAAATTTCGAATTCAGAATAATTGTCTTCCCTCACATCAAATTCCCATTTGGACCGCTTCATCCTATCCTAATAAAAATACTTTTTTTTTTTTTTTGAAGTTACAAACTATCTTCCAGTTTTCTCAATGATTTAGTTTGCTAGGTAAGCCTTCTTATAGAGATACAATTTGTCTTTCTAGAAGGAAACCTTTTAAAATTGAAATTATTCTTTCTTTGCTCTAAAATATAATAGTGTAAGTAATAATCTGACTAAATAATAAGCATTAAAGTTTTTTAAAAGTGATTCATATTCTATAAAAGCTTTAACAAGGTGAAGATCTTTATCAGATGTTTTAAAATGTCATATTTTAAAAATTAAAATGTGCAATAAAATGAAATCCATGAAAATATAAATTATTTTAGAAGTTTCTAGCTTTGAATTTCTTTATTAATACTTACTGCTCATGTGCTCATGTATTTTTAACAATTTAAAGTTCCAAAACCTAATAAGAACAACAGTAATTGATTAGTTATTTATTTCAAGCCCACCAGTCACTCCTCAGAAACCCTATACAGTCGCTATGAGTTGGAACTGACTCAAGGGCACTTCACAACAACAGAGAAGTTAAATTTCAATCTTATTTAACCCTTACAATAGTATTCAGAGGTCTGTTTCTAAAAGACAAGGTCACAGAGAAAATATAACACCTGAAAATGGATTTCAATCAAGGTCTGTGCGATTGCAAAGCCCTCAATCATTGTTTGACGGGTGATCTAATTGCATAATTTTGATGGCATAAGTTTAAACCAATTCAGGATAATTAACCAACGGATTTCTACAACCAACATTGAAGTTACAAACTGAACAGAAGACTCTGAACAGTGCAAATTACTTCAAAGGTAGCTAGCTGCCCATTGTCACTGTGCCTTATTTAAATAAACAAATCTCCCTTTAATGAGTAAGCCCCAAAGCCTCCAGGGACTCAAAGTAATTTCACATCACCTCAGAAACCTTCAGCAAACACTACTGAAACTAATTTAGGTTTCCCTTTTGTATTTGCAAAATGCGTAAGTACCCTCTTCTCTGTTAAAGTCTTTCCAGTACAGGGGTGAGGGGAATACTGAAGGTTGGAACCTCATATTTTGGTTCAGAGGAGTAAGTGATAATGGGCATATTATCAGCTCCAAAACAAGATTTGCAGAGTACTGGTAAAGCAAAGGAACGTTTCCTGCCTCATTTAGTCAATCATTCTTAGCACCCAATGGCGAAGTTAGAAACAGTCACTGTGCCTAACATTCTTTTTAAAACTCCACCCTCCACTGTAAAGCTTTAATAGCAATGGCTCCTTCCTCTCTGGTAATGATCTTTGTTCAGCACATTACTGATGGCTGCCCTCCTAATTCAGAAGCAGAAAGAGAATCAGAGCATCAGCGAGCACTCACTGAACAAAAAAGGATTTCCTGTACTCTTTTCTTACCGAAAACTGTATACCCTTTATCTTTGTTGATGAAAAACAAAAAAAACTATTCTGGAGCAATTCTTTTTATCCCCTACTCCCGCCCCCAATGTTTTGTTCAAGGGCACTACATGTTTCTCTATTTTATAATCTTATAATATTCAATCTGACCAAAAGAACACACACCCTCGCCACCCCACCCCCATTTTGGGAAAGGTATGGAGGCCAACTAGGACTCTTTCCTTCCTGCTCTAAATACACCCAAAGACGGGATCCTCCCGGCGGTGTAGCAGGAAGCAACCAGACCGTAGTGATAAAACAAGCTAGTTATTTGTGCAGTGCACAACCTTTCCTGCTCAGGAACTGGGCCTTCAGGTCTGGCAAGGATAAGAGCCACCACCCATCCGCAACCCCTTCTCACGAGTTATCCAGGCTGGGTGCCGCCGGGAAGGGCCGGCGCGAGTGGGAAGTCGCATCAGCCGCCCGGACGCTGCGACAAGTGCGCGCGTGGGTGATAGACAATTCCTCCTGCCCACCCCACCCCCCACCCGGAGGGGTCGTGACAGTTCTAAATACAATTTGGGGAGAGCAGGGAGAGAAGAAGCTGCCAATCCTTGGGGAGGTCCGGGAAGGTTACCGGCTGCGAGAACTGGCAGGGAGCGGGGTGGTGGGTGGAGGCCACTGACCCGCTCAGATTTGACTGGGGCTGGACCGGGGGGGGGGAGGGAAAAAGGAAGCCGGTTAGGAGGGTCGTCCGTCCTCGGGGAGGGGCTGGGAGCAGAGAGGAGGCTCGCTCGGGGGGAAAGGAAAGCCGACCAGGAAAAGACCTGTAGTGGGAGGGAGTCACTGGGCCGAAGGACAGACGAAAAGGGAAGCGAAGGCCTGCCAGAGGGGCTCACCGAGGGGATGTGAGCGAGAAGAGGTGTCCGCTGAGGGGGAGGGGACGCTAAGGCAGAGAGACAGATGGCTGGAGGGGCCTGAGACCCCCAGAAAGGAAGGAGGAAGACGATTTGGAAGAAGGCAGTTGCCGTGAGGACACACAGAGAGGCCAGCGAGGGCCTGCGGGGAGGTCGCTAAGAAATGGGTGTGTGCTGGGGGCTCCCGTACAAGAAAGAAGGCTAGGCTGGGAGACGACAGAAAGAACGGCCCAGAAAGGAAGGGCTAAGGCAGGCCCGTTTTGGTGCAGGGGGTGTCCGCGCGAGGGTCCCCAGGGAGTGTCCCGGGCCCCCGAAGGGAGACTCCGAGAGGTGGTAAAGCCCAGAGTCTCACCTTTGAAGAGATAGTCATACTCGTCGTCGCGGGTGCCCATGGCGCGGCCGAGGAGGGAAGGGGCGGGAGCAGCAGTGGTATCGGTGGGACCAGGGGGCGTCGCTGCAGGGGTAACCCGAGCGCCGAGCCTCAGCTGCCGGACCGGGTAAAGAGCCCCTCCCTGCCGCTGCGCCACTTCCGGCAGGGCCCAGCCCCTAAGGGGAAGTACTTCCGGGGAGATAGTGCCCCGCCTCCGAGCTAAGGAAGTTGTTGAGCTCCCGTAACGCGGCAGTCTGCGACTTCAGTCCCGCAAGGCGGTGCAAGTAGAAAAATGAGTCCCGAAATCCCAGCGGACCACACTCTTAGTGGTTGCTGACCACACTCTTTGTGGTCTTTCATTTATTCCTTACCCATCTCACGCTGCTTTGCCGGAATCCGAGTGCTGGGAGCACGTCAGATTTTTTTGAATGGTGGGTCTGTGGATGGGGGCGGAGTTCTCTAAGGTTTAGAGAGCTGAGGGCGAAGACAGTACTGTGGCGGTTCCATGGTGTAATGGTTAGCACTCTGGACTCTGAATCCAGCGATCCGAGTTCAAATCTCGGTGGAACCTACAGTCCTGAGCTTTTTTTCTCTACCTTTTAAATTCATTTATGTATCATTAAATCATTGTTATACAACTGTGCTATGTCCGGCGTTGAACTAAATATCATGAGAATCTCGCAAAATACACTGTTTGCTTCCAAAGACCTCTCAAGTGTCCCCTTCAATTTAGTACTATTTGCCATACCTGCCTGCCACATAGAGATCTTGTAAGGAACCTCTTCACTTAGCCTTTCTCGCCTCAAATCTTAATTCAAAAGCTTCTTCAATGAAACTTGATTCCTTTTTCTGGAATTTTCTATCTCCAATTCCGTTAAAGAACAGGTTTTTCTCATTCACTGCTCTCCGGAATCTCTCAAACTATCTCCAGATGTCATTCAGAGAACTTCGCCCACCCCTCCTCATCAACATTCATAAAGAACAAGATTCATCAAGAACTTCGTGAGCTTTTCCGATTTGTCAACTTCCAAACTAAACCCGTTTACATAATTATTTAACCCGCAGAGCAAAGGATAGTAATTTTCATTGTATTGGTTTACGTTCCATTTTAGCAGATTCTGAGATTCCAGTGATTTGCTAGAGATCATATGGGAGACTTCCTTATATTTGAAGAGAGTTTTGCAATTCCAAAGAGCTCTTTTCCATCTATTGTCACACCCCACTACTGCCTAGATGCAAATTCTCAATTTAGACTTTTAGGCAAGAGTGCTTGTGGTAAGTGGAAATAATGCCCCTCAAGAAATATCCATGACCTAATCCCTGAAACAACACGGGAACACTGAATGGTTTAAAATTAGGGAAGGTGTGCGACAGGGCTGTATTCTTTCACCATACTTATTCAACCTGAGCAAATAATCCGAGAAACTGGGTTCTATGAAGAAAAATGTG